TAGTCTCTAAGGTGCCACAAGTACTCCTGGTCTCTTTGGGATACAGACTAACACGGCTGCTATTCTGAAACCTGTCATGATGGGGTATGTGTGAGAGTGTGAAGAGGGATGGCAGTGGTGGGTAGGGGGGAGGGGACAGGTGGGCTACAAGGAGGGACAGGTGGGCTACAAGGAGGGACATTTGGCTAGGGGGATGTCAGGGGACGGGCAGCAGTGAGAAGGGACGGGGGGTGCGGCTGAGGGGGCTGGCGGGCGGGGGAGAGGAGGGACGGGGGTGCGGGCGGAGGGGGATGTCGGGGGTCGGTCGGGGGAGAGGAGGGACGGGGATGCGGGCGGAGGGGGATGTCGGGGGACCGGCTGGGGTGAGGAGGGACGGGGGTGCGGGCGGAGGGGGACGTCGGGGAGTGGGGATGCGGGCGTGTCGGGGGACGGGCGGGGTGAGGAGGGACGAGGGTGCGGGCGGAGGGGGATGTCGGGGGACGGGGATGCGGGCGTGTCGGGGGACGGGCGGGGGTGAGGTCAGTGTAGCTGAAGCCGATCGGGCTGGGGTCTGCCGCAGGGCTCCCCACCGTGGGACGCCCCCCCGGCTGGGCCCTGGGCGCCCGTGGGAAGCTCCCGCGCGGCGGCACGGCCTGGCCTGACACGCAGTGGCACTGCCCCGCCTCCCCGCTGCCGCCGTTGCAGGAAGCCGGAAGCGGCGGGAACAAGCGTTAGCTTGGTACGGCCGGGCGGGAGACGCGGATCGCGGTGCTAGGACGCGGCCCTTGTCTGCAGGTAGGGCCGGGCCGGGCCGGGCCGGGCCCGCGGGGGGAGGGGCGGTCTCAGCGCTGTGGTGGGAGCCGGGGTTAGGGCCGCTGCCGGAGGCTGGGCTGTGACAAGCCGGGGCCGAGGGGGTGGCGGGGTTCAGGCCCGCCAGTGACTTTCCGCGTGAGCTCGGGACCGAGTGGGGAGAGGGAACAGGAGCCAGCCTGGTGAGCCCGCCCCTCTGCTGGGCTGCGCTCCAGCCCCCCAATAGCCCAGCGCTATGCCGGTTCCCCACCGTCCTGGTGACCTGACCAGGCCCCGTGTCGTCTGCCCCCCGGTGCTGGGAGTGGGGCAGGTCAGTAAGGTACCTTTGGTTCCCCAAGCTGGGCTCCAGTCCCAGGGCAGCGAGCATCAGCCTGGGGCTCGCCTTGGGGTAACACGCTGGTGAGTTGTGGTCGCGTTTGTTAGATTTTCAACCTCTTAAACATTAAACACAACAGAATTCTTTGGTACTGGAGCGAGAGATTTTACAAGCTACCTTTAAAGTCTGTGCAGATGGAGGAGGGAGTTTCCCTGTAAGTGATATACATGGTGGGTAAGGCATTGAGTTGGTGCCTGGATGGGACTCCAAAAACATTATCCTGATTTGTTCATGGATGTATATAAGCTTTAATGACCTCATCTCAAAACGGAACCGCGGTGCATTCAATTATTTCAGGGATTCTCAAACTGGGGGTTGGGACCCCTCAGGGGGTTGCGAGGGATGTGGGATTATGAGCTGTTAGCCTCCACCCAAAATCCTACTGTGCCTCCAGCATTTATAATGTTAAATATATAAAAATGTGTTTTTAATTTATAAGGGGTGTTGCACCCAGAGGTGAAAGGGGTCACCAGTACAAAAGTTTGAGAACCACTGAATTATTTTATGTTTTTAAATCTTGTAATCTCTTCAGCTAGGTCCCTATGGGAAATGGGGGCAGAGGGAGAAGGAGATGGGAAATACTATCTTTTGTGGAATACAAGCTTTCAAACTTTCATTTAAGAAAAAATTCCAGCTGTTGGAATAATTGCAGCTTTTGGATGTTGTGAAGGCCGAGACTATAACAGGATTCAAAAAAGAATTAGATAAGTTCATAGAGGAGAATAAAAGCAGGCAGTTAGAGACAAAAAGATATCCTACTGAGGAAAATAGAAAAGAATAAACTTTAGCAAGTCAGGTTCTACGATTCTAAGTACTGTAGTGCAATCTCTTTATCATGAAAGTGCAGCTTACAAATGTTTTTTTTGTTACATAACTGCACTCAAAAATAAAACAATGTAAAACTTTAGAGCCTATAAGTCCACTCAGTCCTACTTCTTGCTCAGCCAATCGCTAAGAGAAACAAGTTTGTTTACATTTATGGACGATAATGCTGCCTGCTTCTTGTTTACAATGTCACCTAAAGTGAGAACAGGTGTTTGCATGGCACTGTTGTAGCCACCATCACAAGAGATTTACATGCCAGATGCGCTAATGATTCATATGTCCCTTGATGCTTCAACCAACATTCCAGAGGACATGCGTCCATGCTGATGACAGGTTCTGTTCAATAATGATCCAAAGCAGTGCAGACTGACACAGGTTCATTTTCATTATCTGAGTCCGATGTCATCAGCAGAAGATTGATTTTCTTTTTTGGTGGTTTGGGTACTGTAGTTTCTGCATCAGAGTGTTGTTCTTTTAAGACTTCTGAAAGCATGCTCCACACCTCATCCCTCTCAGATTTTGGAAGGCACTTCAGATTCTTAAACCTTGGGTCGAGTGCTGGAGCTATCTTTAGAAATCTCACATTGGTCTCTTCTTCACATTTTGTCAAATTTGCAGTGAAAGTGTTCTTAAAATGAACTGTATGTGCTGGGTCATCATCCGAGACTACTATAACATGAAATATATGGCAGAATGTGGGTAAAACAGAGCAGGAGACGTACAATTCTCCCCCAAGGAGTTCAGTCACAAATGTAATTAATGCATTTTTTTTTAAACAAGCGTCATCAGCATGGAAGCATGTTCTCTGGAACGATGGCCGAAGCATGAAGAGGCATATGAATCTTTAGTGCACCTGGCACATAAATATCTTGTGATGCCACCTACAACAGTGAATTGAAAAATACTGTTTCTTTTGTTTAATCGTGCAACAGCTCTAGTTGAAACTATTGTAAATAACAGAATTATTAGACACACAGATGTATATGTTTCAGAGTAGCAGCCGTGTTAGTCTGTATCCGCAAAAAGAACAGGAGTACTTGTGGCACCTTAGAGACTAACAAATTTATTAGAGCATAAGCTTTCGTGGGCAGTATTTGTTAGTCTCTAAGGTGCCACAAGTACTCCTGTTCTTTTTACAGATGGATATGATGTGTTGGGGAAAACTCCATGTGGCTTTTCACCAATCTGGGGGAGGGAAGGCTGTTCAAGAATCATGTAGACAAGGGTGATCCAGTATATACAGTGTACTTGAACTTTCAGAAAGTCTTTGATAAGGTCCCTCACCAAAGGCCCTTGAGCAAAGTAAGCAGTCCTGGGATAAGAGGGAAGGTCCTCTCATGGATCAGTAACTGATTAAAAGACAGGAAATAAAGGGTAGAAATAAATGGTCAGTTTTCACAGTGGAGAGAGGTAAAAAGTTCGGTCCCCCAAGGATCTGTATTGGGATCAGTCCTGTTCAACATGTTCATAAATGGTTTTGAAAAAGGGGTAGACAGTGAGGTGGCAAAGTTAGCAGACAATGCAAAATTACTCAAGATAGTTAAGTCTAAAGCCGACTGGGAAGAGTTACAAAGGTATCGGAAAACTGGGTGACTGGATAACAAAATGACAGATGAAATTCAGTGTTGATAAGTGCAAAATAATGCACGTTGGAAAATATAATTCCAACTATACCTACAAAAATGAAGGGGTCAAAATTAGCTGTTACCACTCAAGACAGAGATCTTGGAGTCATTGTGAATAGTTCTCTGAATATATCTGCTCAGTCAGCCAAAAAAACCCAACCCTAACAATGTTAGAATCTATTAGGAAAGGGATAGATAAGGAGATAGTAAATATCATAATGCCCTATATAAATCAATGGTATATCCATGCCCTGAATATGGGTGCGGTTCTGGTTGCCCCATCTCAAAAAGATATATTAGAGTTGAAAAAAGTACAGAGAAGAGCAACAAAAGTGATTAGGGGGATGGAACAGCTTCCATATGAGAAGAGATTAAAAGGACTGGGAATTTTCAGCTTAGAAAAGAGACAATGAAGGGGCGATATGATAGAAGTCTACAAAATCATGAATGGTGTGGAGAAAGTGCATAAGGAAGTGTTATTTACCCCTTCACACAACACAAGAACCAGGTGTCACCTAATGAAATTAATAGACAGCAGGTTTAAAAATAAACAGAAGGAAGTACTTCTTCGCACTTCTTCACACAATGAGCTTGTTGCCAGGGGATGTTATGAAAGCCAAAACTATAACTGGGTTAAAAAAAGAATTAGATAAGTTCATGGAGGATAGGTCCATCAGTGGGTATTAGCCAAGATGGCCAGGGATGCAACCCCATGCTTTAGGTGTCCCCTAACCCTTTGACTGCCAGAAGATGGGACTGAACAACAGTGGATGGATCACTTGATGAATTGCCCTGTTCTGTTCATTCCCTCTGAAGTGAACAGGATACTGGGCTAGATGGACAATTGGTCTGACCCCGTCTGACCCTTATGTTCTTAAGATCTTGGGGGCATAGTTAATGTCTTAAATGTTTGTACAACTAGCACATTGTAGGTTTTGGGCATCTTCATAATACAAATAATGATATTTGTCTGGGAGGAGGCCCAAAAAGCAGAAGCAGAGAGAAGGACAGCAGACTAGAAGCCAGGAGTTTCAGAGAAAAAGAATGCTCCTCCTTTCTAGGGGGTAAAGGCTTTTGAATTTACTAGAAACAACAATGGATGAGTTCCCAAGAAGAGTACCTTAGTAGGAATCCCAGCAGCTTTGGTGTGGGGATGGTCAGACTTTGCCTTCGCCTCTAGGCATTGTCCCTAGACAGAGGGACCTCTCAGCTTTAAGTCTTCCGGCTATTAGAGCAGTGGTCTCCAAACTTTTTTGATCGCGCACCCATATCAGTAAAAAAATTTTGAGCACGCACCCCCTGCTGCGCCGGCTCTACCATTTTTGCTGAAGCAAAAAAAAAAAAAAGACACTCCTCCTGCCGTGCACCCCCAAGGATCCTCTTGCACACCCCACTTTGGAGACCACACCGTATTAGAGGTCTGGTAAATTTTTCAAGTCCTAGGTATTATGCATGCAAAGCAAAACTGGGTCAATTCCTACTTCTGACTAACATACAAGAAAAGAGCACTAAACTTCTCATCTCAACCAAAGCAGTCCATGCTCTGCCCACTAGAAGATCAAAAATTAAATCAAAATAATCCACAATCCATTCGTACTATATACAATCCTTTCCTGGATTCACCAAACACTAACCTGCTGACAAATAGAGCAAACCTCCCCACCAAAAACTGAAAAATGGTCAGGATACTAAACCAAAACCTAAAATACCAATATATGAGTCATTGGGAAGAACAAATTAAACTGCTAGACTGCTTTAGGTCTCTATACAGAACTACTTCCTCATCAGTGAACATAAGCTAGAAGTGAAAATGAAACCAAGTTTTTAGAGCTAGTTCAGAAAGGCGCAGTCGTGCAAGGAGGACAAAGGACAGGTTGAGACAGAGACATTCTACTCTAATGTCCAAGGTACAAAGATGTGTGAGAAATTATTCTTAGCAATTTGAAAAAATAAGTTTTAATGAAAAATCCGCTCCCTCGCTCTGGGGAAAAAGGAGAGAGATTACAGAAGAGGCATTGTGTATCTTTTCTGGCATTTTTAGTATGTTTCCTTTTTTCTTTCTCAGTTTTTGCCTTACCTTATATACTTTTCTTGTCCCGCTATGTTGTGTACTATGTGTTCTGTATTGTCCACTTCTCCCCAAAGTTTTAAATGCACTCTCTCTTTCTGGGTGCCTCCATTTTAGTAACATCAGTCAGTATCATCCTAGTTGTAAATATTTAAGGTAGAGAAAAGAGTGAGTGGATTTGGGAAGAAGAGGAGGAGGTGGTGGTGGTAAAGAGAGAGACAAAAAAGAGGTAGTAATAGATGCTGCATACACATAAAAAGATACATTCTGAACTATTATAACAAAAAAGGAGGAGTGAAGCCAGAATGGGAAAGGAAGCAAAACAAAAGGAAGGAAAAGATGTAGGAAGTTATATTTTTAGAAGTTAACTAGAAAGTTGATTGAAGATTGTTAAAAGCAGGTCAGAATACAGTCACTGCCCCTATGAAATTTTAAAGGAATAAAACAGTATCATCCTATTATTCCTTTAAATTGAGGTTTGTGATGTTGGGGGAATGGTTATTTTTTACCTTGACTAGGGTGAAACCAGAGTAAGTTGCAATGGTGTATTGTATTAGTTAGGAAGGACTATATGGGCCGCAAAAACAAAGGTGTTAATATGACCCTATAACTGTCCAACGTGAAACTGTTTTAAATAAGGTTCAGGGTTTGGAATGCAAAGATCTGAGCCCTCTTAATACGATGGCAAACTCATTATTAAACATTTTTAAACCCTTTATTAAAGATACAGGGGGAAAACAGAAAGTTAGACCATTTGAAATGTAAAGTATTAAGTAAGGCTTTCATTTTAAAAACATCCCTTATTCCCTTCAGCTGTGAAGAGTCTTTAGAACAGAGGTGGCCAGCCTGAGTGCCAAAGAGCCACAGTAATCGGCAGCCCCCCCCCCCATCAGCTCCCAGCACCTCCCACCCACCATTAGCCCTGCTGATCAGCACCCCCCCTCCCTTCCTGAACCTCCCGAAACAGCTGATCCGGGTGTGCAGGAGGCTGTGAGGTGGGGAGGAGCGAAGGCATGGTAGGCTCAGGGGAGGGGCAGGAAGGGGTTGAGTAGGGGTAGGGCCTGTGGCAGAACCTGTGGCAGAGCCAGGGGTTGAGCAGTGAGCACCCCCTTGGCACATTGGAAAGTTGGCGCCTTTAGCTCCAGCCCCAGAGTCGGTGCCTATACAAGGAGCCGCATATTAACTTCTGAAGAGCTGCATGTGGCTCCAGAGCCACAGGTTGACCACCCCTGCTTTAGAAGATTACAAAAATAGAAAAAGAAAACCCTTGTGTGCAGTCTTTTAGATGGTACTGAATATAGTAATTACTGTTATTTTTGAGAAAAGTTAGCTGAGATGGGCTGGAGCTGGTATTGTTGCTGTTATTAACATCTATCCATAGGAAAACAACCTTCCCCTTCTCTTGTCTTTTAGCCAGCCAGCATTCACCAGAGATAGCTTTTCCTCCTGAAGTCTCTTTTTGAAGACCCCAGAAAGGGAATGATGGGCAGAATAGCTCAGTGTTTCTCAACCAGGGGTATTTTTTTTTTTTTTGAGGGGTATGCAGAGGTCTTCCAGGGAGTACATCAACTCACCTAGGTATTTGGCTAGTTTTACAACAGGCTACATAAAAAGCACTAGCAAAGTCAGTAGAAACTAAAATTTCATAGAGGCAGTGACTTGCTTATACTGCTCTATATACTATAAACTGAAATGTAAGTACAATATTTATATTCCAATTGATTTATTTTATAATTATATGGTAAAATGAGAAAGTAAGCAGTTTTTCAGTGATAGTGTGCTGTGACACTTTTGTATTTTTATGTCTGATTTTGTAAGCAAATACTTTGTGAGGTGAAATTTCGGATATGCAAGATATCAGCCTCCTGAAAGGGGTACAGCCTGGAAAGGCTGAGTGCCACTGGAATAGCTCATCCCCTCCACCCCCCCAATTAGGCCTAATTTCCAACAAAACAGTTTTGGTCTGTTTATTTCCAGTCCAGCACTTCTCTTGTTTACCAGGCATGACCTTAACATAGTCCTTGAATAATATCAGTAGGCCTTTTTGTTTAGGTTAATACAGTCTTACTCCCTTTTGCACCTTCTCGCATCAACATTTGTTATAGGTTAGAGACATTTTATAAACTTTCTCTAACTTTTTACAGTTGAACTCACAATTAGTGTAAATTTGTAGGCCCAATCATCACAAGTGCAAGCTTTTGTTTGCACCAAGGCGCCACGTGTACATTAAGCATTTCCACTGGTGTAGCTATATCAGTGTGGTTACATCAGTACAAATATCCTAGGCTTAGATCTGATTCCTATTTTCACTGTTTGAGATTTTTGTCAATATTTTGTACCATATTGTAAATGGTTTTCCTGTCTGCTAGATTTTTGTCATCCATTACATGAAGTCCTAGATCTGATAGCATGCTAGTTTGTTTTGTAGGGTGCTATGGCTCATGCAATTCTTTTCTACTGGTCTTGGCATACATTACTTTTAAAAATGAGAGTGGAGGAGGACAAGGGACCTCTTACGTAAAAATGTCACATTTGTATCTTTTGGGCTGTGAGATGATCACTTTCTAGTCAGCCGTTAAATTGTTTAGTTTTTAAATAAAATTGGTAAAGACCAAATTCTTTGTGTACTTACAGTCTATGTGCACTTTTCTGCTGAACAAAAAAGATTCAGTAGATTTGACTCTTGGCAAGAGGTAGTCAAGATGGCATCATGCAAAGCAGCAGTCCCATCTTCACTATATCCATGCCACCTGGCACATCGCAGGTGGTGGGTCTTATTATCTGGAAGACATTTTTAGTCCAATGTTTTTTTTCAAGCTTTTTCGTAGCATGGACCTTTTTTTAATACAGAAACTGCCCCAGATTGCCTCAGGGACCTGTCTCATGCCATTCAGGTCTGCATAACATCTCTTTGGCATCTACAGCAGTTACCAATATGGGAAAATTATGTTTGACTAGTATTTTAGGTACTTTTAGTAGAGCTGGTTGAGAATTTTTGAAGTTTTGATGAAAATATGTCACAGAAGATTTCCACTGTTTTTTGACCAGCTGTTATTTTGAGTTGTCTTTAATGCCTTTTAGCAGCTTGAGAAAGGAGGCGGACCCACCAGCACCATGTGACCAGTCAGCTTGCCACCCGATTTGTGTACTGTAACCCATGTGTTAAGAATAAGTAATGATGGAAATAGATAAAATACAGTAGATTGGAGCTGCTTCATAACTTTGGATCTATTTTGCAAGAATTCCAAGTCTCTACCTGGTGACTCCGCCTTTCACACATTACAAGGTGATTGGACTTGGGACTGGCTTATAAGAAACACTTTACACATATATTCTCATTAAGGTACTGTACATTACTAATATTAGAAGTTATTACAAGTAGAAACTTGTTCAGCCAAAACCATTTGAAAATTCCTGTTTTAATGCGGTGTTCCCCTGAGTACTATTAAAAAGTCAGGCCCCTGCCTGTGCTAAGCACCGTAATGTGACTGATTAACTTGATATGCAGCACAACTTCCGCCACTCTGTTCATTTTCCTGTGGTAAAATCTCTTCTGTGTTGTGACAGACTTTCTTTGCTGTTGTGTAAACCAATGATTTTTTCAAACAGAGTTGAACAACTTAGATGATAAATATGTTTCCCTTAGATCTCTCTAAGAACAGGAAGTTCTTTTATATCTTCTTCCTGCTATCACAGGGGTGTGGGGGCTTGATAGTGCTTTTCATAAGAAGAGTAAGGAGGCTTTTCTTGGGGGCTGGCAGGGAAGGGGGATGCGGGGGGGGGAAATCCTGATACAATGAATGACCAAACTGAACTAATTCAGGTTATCCTTAACTCTGAAGTGTTCATAGTTTTGTGTTCCATAATTTATGGTAACTTACTGTTTTCTTTAGGCATTGGCAGTGCACACAGTATGTGAGATATTACACTTTTTGGAGACGCTCTAAAAGCTGGTTGTATTGGACTTCTGCTGAAACAATGAGTATTATAATATTGATTGTGTATGAAAAATTAGAGATTTGCTTTAATTAAAATAGATACGTTGTGGGCCTTTTTTAAATTTGGAAAACTTAGAATCTCTTATTAAAATCAGGAATTAACTCATAACATGATTGAGTTATATTATTAATAATTGGGGGAAACTATCCAGGGAAATGCTGCTTATCTGGCACACCTGTTGTCAGAAGCAGTTTAGAACCCATTTGAGGGCTAGGAATGGGACTCTGGTTGCTGACAATTTTCCTTTATACCACACTAGTATAAGAGAGTTGAGGCAGTTATCATCTGTATCTTTTCAAGGACAGCATATACGGTGTCTTTTATTTATGTTACTTAGGCCCTTATTCTGTAGGATACTTTATTCAGGTGCCAGGGTCTGCCTGTGCAAAACATGGGCATTCTGATCTATATAGGTCTTTATACTGTCTGTCTCCTCACTGTAGTATCTGAGCGCCTTCCAGTAGTGCATGTTGTCTGTTCTCTCATCCTCTCCTCAGGTGGAGGAGCATGTGCAGTGGAGTGTCTTGTTTAGGTAGGGAGTTTGGATTGGTTTGTTTTTTATACATATATCTGTTGCTATGTGTTTTTATTAGAGAAGGTGAGGTGAAAAGTGTGCTTTGCACTTTAGGTGGAAAGTGGGTAGGGTGACCAGACATCCCGATATTGAGCAGTTTGTCCCGCGTCCCGACCGAAGTACGGTCGGGACACCATTTGTCCCGATATTTTGTTTCGGGCGCTTTGTGCGCCCCTCTCCCCCCTTGTTACTTAGGTGGCGGTGACCGGCAGGGGGAGTAGGGGGAGTGCCTTTTCAATTGTTACACTCACCCAGCACGTCCAGGT